TTTCAGATTCCCTGCTATATGCTCTGAATAACTTCATTCTGGTCCTAGAGTCATCAATGTCATGGGGAGAGACCATTTGGGTCGTGAAATATCCTTCAAGTTGACACTAGAGGCAATGAAAACAGCATGGGAGCAGCTGGTTCTACGGGAGTTATCCCAGAGTGATCTGTAGAAAGCACTGAAATCCTTTTGAGGTTATTCAGGATAACTACGAAAATAGGATATTAAAAAAAAACCCCTAGACAAAAACACCAACAAAAACCAAAAAACAAAAAAACCCAACCAACCAACCAACCAAACCCACGAAACAAATACAAGGAGATGCAGCTTAGCAGCTTGCACATTCTGTTGGTTTTGATTGAAGTGTGAAATGAAAGCAGCCAGTCAGTCTCCCGTGCCCTATTTACACAATACACTGACGCCACTCCTACACGAAAGCCTTGCACTAGGATCAAGGAACTCTGGATGAAGCCAGCCTGGATGCTTGAAGGCAGCACAGAGTCACCACATGAAGCAGCCCGTGGTAGGGAGGTGCCTCGCTCCACCACCATCACCTTTCCATAGCCACCATGAGTCCAGCACAGGTGACTCCCTGCAGTCTGCCAGGACTAGCTTTAGACAGAGAGGGCTTTGAGGATTATCTCAGTGCACTTTGCTTCTCTTTGTTAGGGATTTTTTGGGGGGGGGTGGGGTGTTGGCACTGCATCTTAAATTCCTTTTGTCTCAAATCCTCTCCCTCTGCCTTAAAGACATGCAGCCAAAATGAAAGCCACGACTGAAGGAAGGAGAGTTGGAATGCTACCAGGGTGATGAAGGCCTCCAGTTTGCCCTGTGCAGCAGGTTCTACCCCAGCCTTGGGTCTGGCCATCCCCTCCCTTCCCACCCCCCGACAGAGCAGTCTGGTCTGCCATCCTGGCACCAGGCAGGAACTGATAAACATTTCCCTTCCCTTTCCCTGATGGCCAGAAGCTCATGGGTTGTGTCAGGCCAGAGTAATTGCTCTGTCTCTGTGAGTTACTGGCAGAGCAGCCTCTGCTGCTTTCAGCTCCTGTCTCGGGCCATTCCTGGCTGTCTCCGAGGCGCCAGGCCCTGGGCCAGCACTGGCGCCTTTTACAGCCGAATTACACAACCCTCTCTCCAAGTTTTCTCTTCTTTTCTGTGCATAGTGAGGTTTTTCCCTCCTGTTTGCAAGGATTGCTAAGACCCCACAGTGGGGCTGGAGGAAAATGTCAGAGTTGAAGCATGAGCCCAGTTGCTATTTCAAGTGGCCAAGACCGATAAAAACCTTTTCCATATGGAGCAAAAGAAAAAGAGAGCTGTTCCCAGGAGCCTGCTACCAATTCCCAGGGTGCCTTTTGCCAAAAGGAGAAGATTTTCTCTTGTCTCCCAGCATTCTTGCCAAGGCTCAGCCTGGCTGATTGCATTTAACCTTCTCAGGGATCCAACTGCGCACTGAGTCGTTCTGCACCCGTGTTCAGATCACAGCCTGTGAACTGCTGGTGCACCATAGTGGACAGTTGGTGCATCCTACCCCTGAGATAGCACCTCCAATCACAACATCACTAGAGAAGGCTTTTTTTTTTTTTTTTCTGAGAAGTGGGAAACTAAAAGCAAACCTCCCTTCTCCATTTGCTGATTTCCTGAGGCTCCTTTTCATCTTCTAACTGTAAGTAGACATCTTTGGAGTCACTAAACCCACCACAGTCATAGCTAGATAACGCATCACACTGATAAGCTAAATAGAAACAACCATATGGGGTCAGATTCAAGGCCCCCTCTGCCTCCTCTCCATGGCAGAATAGAAAGCAGCTTGGAAAAATAAAAGAGCACGGCAAGCACGTGGTAATGCATCTTCAAAAAGATCCCCAAAACTCCAGTAATCTGTGCTCAGAGACCCCCTGAAGCAGAATGGTTTCACTTCACTTCATAGTACTGAATGAACGTTGCTTTTGTGAATGCTTCCACATGCTTCTTATAACTTTGGAAGCTTTCAGCATCCATAGAGCACTGTGGAAAAGTGTCTGTAATTCAGCGGGGCTCTGTGTGCAGGACCTGGGGTTCACTCTAGGCCAGGCACTTCTTGGTGCCTCATCATGCTCTGTAGTTCTTGTGTTGAAGGAGATGATCCCTACCATCAGTAGGCCTTTCCTACCACCAACAAGCCGCTAAGAGTTTCATAGACCTCTTTCACATGCATCCATAATCTCTTTTCAAGGCTGAAAGGTCCCAGTCTCTGTAATCTTTCCTCCTACAGAACATGCTCCATAATTTTGTTCATGGCTGTAAACTGGCCATCCTTATCACTTCTCCTATATCCTTCTATCAAGAAGCCCACGGAGTGCACAGAATATTCAAGATGCAGGTGCAGAGTGGAGTTATGCACTGGCATAGTGATGTTTTCTGTTTCATTCTCTCTTCCTTTCTTAATTTATCCAGTCTTAATGATTCACAACATTTAATGTCTGGTTTTTATCACCATTGAATAATTATTTCAATCCTTAGGTCTTGCTCCCCAGTGACAGGTCTGATCAGAGGCCATTGTTGTAGATGTGAGCTCATAATTGTTTGGAGGGTTGTTTTTCCCCCCCTATTTCTGTTCCCTACATGGATTTGCACCTGCTCTCGCTCAGTAGCTCAAAAGCAGCCCATGACAAGAATGGCTCTGAGGTTTGCTGATCATGTTCAGTGTGCATGATCAGATCTGGGTGCATCCTCACAGCATGAGGGAGAGGCTGAAGGTCAGGAGTGTGGCAGACAGAGGGATGTTAAAACAGATATTGGCTGGGAATAAAGAACCTGATGCTGAAGGTGGCTGTAAATAATGCCATCAAAGAAGGGCTTTCATTGGAGGGAAAAAATGGAATTATTTATGAACTTCATGCATATCATCAGTTGTGCTGCCGCCTGTTAAATAATACAGCTGTGGACATCGGTAACTTTGAAAACTTGTGGTGTTGACAGCAATTGTGGGAGAAAACAGTGTTTTTCATTGAAAAGAGCTGTTCTGACCAAGCTTTTTTTGTCTTCACCTTTTGGGAAACTCTTAGTTTCATTCCATTTATTGCTCTATATGTGCTCTTGTCTTTATGCATACCTTCTGGCTGAATCTTTTCGTGGCAGACTAATGGCCTGCAAAAACACTGTAGGCAGAAGTTTCCCTTCAGGAAGTCTCAAACTTGTCTCATTAAGACACACAGAGAGATAAAAAGTTTTCCGATTTTTGCAGTCATTCTTAAATAAGATCCAAAATAGTCAATGGAATAAGTCAACAATTTTATCAGCTTTTCTGTCATACTAGTATTAAACAACATTGTGTTACATCATTAAGTAAACTAAGAGTAACACCAACAACATGTGAAAAGCTCTGTGTCATAGAGTTTGATGAAAACCTCAGCTGCAGGTTTCAAGAACTGAAGTGTTCTATGTTCTTTGAACAACACTTTTCCAAAATGTGATTTTTAACAAAACAATTCTCTTTCAAAGGACTTCTAAAAAATATTTTTTCTCCCTTTGAATTAAAGATAATTTCAGGATGTTTTCACTTCACATGGAGGAGACCAAGTTTACCTGGTTTATACATTTGCCACTCTCTAGCCACCAAATTACCTCACCCAGAGCCTTCTCCCTGTGAGCAGCTGCGGGGATGCAGGAGCAATTTCAAATATACCTTATTTTTATATGAAGGGTGAAACTTTGGAAAAGCAAAATTCATGACTCGGGTGATGAGATGAAAGCTGTCCCTATAGGGATAATGCTACAGCGCCTTTCCTATTGGCATTGCAGTATGGAGGTGGGATAAAAAACAGACTTCCAGAAGTAGTTTAGGAAAGGACAAAATCAGAAGCTAAGGCAGGTGGGTTAGCAGGTAGCAGATGGGTATTTAGGTGTCCTATGAGGCTACAGCAATCTCTGCAGCAGCCTGGAGTACAATCATGACACCACAGCCTACGTAAGCCTTCATCTCCCTTCAATCTGTACATTTTGGTGACAGCATCAGGCTGTGACACGTCCTGGGCTGCATGTTACCCGCATGTCTGTCTCCTCACCTTCTCCCTGGACTTCTTCTCTCGTTGTTGTCATTTTTTTTTTCCCCCCTCTTTCCGATAGCCACCACTTTCCTTTTGGCAGGTGGCTCAAAAGGGCTCTGTGCTCCTGTCACATGCAGGGAAGCCTTTTCTCACCCAGTGCTGGAGTGTTTTGTGGAGATAATTAACTATGAAAAGCATTACTCTTGGTGGGGAGGAGAAGCTTAGTGGAACAACTCATTTAAAATCGTTGCATGGACTCCCCTTCATAAGCACATTGAAGTGTACACCTGTTTTACAGAACCCCAGCTCTCCCCAGAGTCTTGTCTTGGAGCGTATCAGCAGAAACATGGAAAGATATTCTCTGGATTGATACCCATGGTGGGATGCTGGTGGGAGACTGGGCTAACGGCGGTCAATAAAGCCTCGAAGGCTTGGTGTAGAGTTGATGGAAATGCTTTCAGTTTCAGAGCTGACAATCCAGCCCATCAAACAGCAGGGGTTCTCTGGCAAAATAGTTAGCATGCTTTGCTGCAATTAAATAGCCTATAAATAGCTGCACTACATAAGGAATGTGTTCGCATCTATATAAAATGCTGTCGATGGATTTCAGGGGGGGGATTTTCTGTACAAGTAGAAAAAGGTCTTAAATTCTCAAAACCACGTTCAGTTTTTCAGTGGGAATGCAAGTGACAAAAACCTCAGCTGAAAGCTGACATATCTAGGCATTAGGTGACAGAAATAGCAGTGGGGGAAAAAAAAAAAAAAAAGTTTATATTTTCTTCCTGAAAATCAACAGTTTACACACCAAGTGCAATTTTCATTGAAACCTTGCTTTATTTTGGATCAAGAGTTTCACAGAAAAAATTGCCTTTGATATAAAAGAAGGAGGTGAAAAAATGGTACTTGTTGCATGGGTAATAACCTCTCTTCCTCTCTTTTTCTCTCCTTTCTTACACTTTCCTCCTGTTACAGCAAGAAAAACAGCAGACACCAAACAAGAGACCCTGGGAAGGAATCAGGAAAGTCCAGTCCCCACCATCATGGGTTAAAAAGGACATCGAACCTGTGGCACAGTCTCCCCTAGAACTAAAAACTGTAGAGTGGGAGAAAACAGGCGCCACCATCCCCCTGGTGGGACAAGACATTATTGACCTTCAGACAGAGGTCTGAGCCGAAAGGGAAGAAAGGGACTTTTTTTTTTCTGGAAAACAAATGAAACAAACAAAACAAAACCACGTTTTAAAGAAATGATTAAATTAAATCAGAACCGAGCAAGAGAAGTGTTTGGTTTCTTTTGAAACCTTTGGTAAGACGGAGTAACTTTTGTATTGTTCTCAGCAGAGAGGGGGAATATTACTTTATAGAGTATAGTAGCTGTAGGTTCAGGACAACATGAGCTTTCCCAGGTAGGACTGGAGAAAAAGTGAGCCTGGAAGAGACCGAGGAGGAGGAAGAAGGTGGGGAGGGGCTGCAGGGGACAAGCCCTGCCAAGATGCTTTCGGGCTGCTGCTGCCCGCCGGGAGCCTTCCTGCTCTGCCACGGGGAGGTGTGGAAGAACGCCCAGCAGCCACCGCGAAGAGCCAAGAAGATTGGGGTTGTTTGGGGACCACAAGAGGGGGACACCTGCGGCAGCCTCGCTGGGATGCGGTCTGGCTGTCGATCCCTGGGGGAAACAGCCTTGAGGGTCTGTGGCGCCCCTTGCCGATCCTCGTCCCCCGCCTCTCCCTCGCCAGCTCATCCAAGAAGGAAGGAGACGGGATGCACCAAGTGGTGGCCAAGAAGACATTCCCACTCCTGCGTGCCACGCCACGACCTGGCATCGTGGCACCCCCGCAGCGGGGCTCCACGGGGCCCAGAGGGGGAAGTGGTGGCATCATCCATGACCTAGGTGGAGAGGTAAGGTGGGGCTTCCTGCTCTCATCCCTCCACAGCAGAGCTTCTGCGCACCCTAAGGAGTGGGACAGGCACAGGTGGAAAGGACCACCTCCAAACCCTGCTCGCCCCGTCTCCAGGGAGAGGGTCGAAGGTGTTAGAAAAATAGACCAACAAGAAGAATGTAGGTCGTTTCATTGACTGTTAAATAGATAAACTCAGCATGGGCCTTGCAAAGGTCCTCTTGGCCTCATCCTTTTTTTTTTTTTCCTGTTATTTTTCCTTGCTTTCGGACTCAGATTTATTCCAAGCTGCCCCTCCCTGGAAGGCAGAGAGAGAAAGGGAAAGACAGATCTGCCAATGTACCTGGAGATATTTGGTATACAGAGATGTTGCCTTAGGACATTGAGACAAACTGACAACGTGAATAACGTCCACTTGGAAACAAACAAACAAACAAACAAAATAATCTATTTTTTTCCTTCTTCTTTTCTTTTCTTCAATAAAAAGAGAACTTGAAACCCGAGACCTTTCTTTTCTTTGGCTCTTGTCATTTCAAATGCCTTTCTGTGCTGTAGGACTGCGCAGGCATGGGGTGAGGATGCCACCTGCTGAAGGTGGAAGGCAAGTTGCTCCGTGGAAAGTTTGGGATGGTGGGAACACACAGCCCCTTCGCCGCTCACTTGCAATGTTTTGCTTAGTTTTATTCAGTTTGAGCTTTGATTATTTTCCCCTCACTGGCTCTTCTTCTCCTTCCCTGCTACCTGGAGCCAGCAAGCAGGTTTGTGGTCCCACAAGAAGGAAGAGGTGGAGCAGATCAGGAGAGCAGGACATTCCTCATCATAAAATACTGTCTTTTTATTTCACCATGGAAAAAAAAAAAAAAAGTTTTTTTCATTAAACATTTCTCAAGGCTATTTACAGAAAATAAGAGATTTACATTTCACCCCAAAAAGTGTTGTGCAATATTTTTTGTCATTAAAAAATACACCACTGACATTACATGCAGACTTCATTTTTCTTATCATTCTCAGCACTGTCTGTCTGAAGTTTGGAACAACTCTCCCAGCTTTCCAGATGTGCAGCAGCAAACCTCTGGTTGTGAGAGGCCAGATTGTGCCAGACAGCAGTAAAGCTTGATCAGGGTCTGAGTTATTACTGTGTGTTTTGGTCTCTTTTTTTTTAAAAAAAAAAAAAAAAAACAAACCAACAAACCAAACCAAACCAAAATATTTTTAGGAAAAAGCTAGCAATGGATACAAGATGCAAAACAATCACTGACCCCAGTTGTGCTTCCCCCACTGAGAGGTGTTGCTTGACGTGCAGACATCTCTGCTTCAACTTTCCTTTGGGCCACCTGGGTAATCTTAAAGGACAGTGGCATTTACCTTGCCATTAACTGTATAATATGACGGATGGGAAGAAAAACTTTAAAAAAAAAAATAAATCCAAATAGGGAAAAAATAGGGAAACTGATTACTTATAAAAACTGTGATATTATTGTTCAATTTTAGATTATTCTATGAAACAGGAAAGCACAAAGGCCTCCCTCAGATGCCGGGTTGTATGATATTGTAATTATTATAATTACACATTATGAATTTTAGCATACAGATATCTTTCTACTGTGTTTTAATTCTTTTCTCTTTTTTTCTTTTTTCCCCCCTTCCCCTGCCCGACCAAGCCTGCCCTCGTCTCTCCAACTTTCCCCACGCACCCATTCACTCCAGCCGACTTGCAGGACATTAACGGTGTTATGTAATTACAGAGATAAATGTTTGTTTAATAACTGTTGATATTCGACTTTCTCTGCTCAGCTCCTCCGGTTAATTCTGTTTTCCCATGCCCTGCCCTGCCCCGTGCCATGCCTTTCCCCTCCTTCCTCTCTGTGTTCGTCAATTTTTTTTTTCTGTACAGTTTTCAGAGCACAAAATGAATGTGTCTTATTTCTAATAAAAGAGGTGTAAACTCTAGCCATGTCTGCTTTTTAAAAGCGCCCCTGCCCGCGCCCCACGTGTGGTTTGTATCGCGCTCGGGTGCTGGGAAACACCTCTCCTGGACCTGCCAGCGACCACCTTGGCTCTCTACTCTGGAAGAGCCACAGCCCAGAGCCAAACTTGCCCCCACGAGTGCATCTTTTTACTTTTAGATTTGTAGCTTCTTGACACCCCAAAAAATACCTCCCCTTTTGATGCACATTTCCAGGGCACGAGGAATTCCATTTCCTGTGCAGCGCAGCCTGCTTTTCCGCAGGTATCTCTAACCCAAACCTTGATGCCCCCCTTCTCATTATCACATGATGTGAGGAGCCAATATTTCACACAGATCTGGCAGCATTACTGGCATAATGATGCTGGGTTATACTTTCCAACGGGGCCAGGAAGACACTGATGCTACCCTGCCTGCATGCCTGCAAAGCCAACCTCAGCCTCACCTGGATTTCCCTGCCACCTCCTGCATTACCAGGCAGGCTGCAAGTAGAAACGTGGCTCAGCGCATGAGGGGGTTGAGGATATCACTCGTGAAAGATGACAAGAAATTAATTGAGCTAGGGATTATTCACTTCCTTGGCGCTTACCCTTAAATGGCTGAAATCCTCCAGCAAGAAAATGTGTCCTTATATCCCTGACTCTGCCTCATCACCTGACTGACAGGTTTTAGGTTTATAGGCAGGACTGCAGGAGGCTTAGGGGCCTGTCAAATCGGATACAGGGTTGCTGCTGCTCTGCAGAGCCTTGATCCAAAGCCATCATGGCCTAGCAGGTCCCCAGATGTAATGACTTCTCTTGGCTGGCTGAAATGAATTGAATATCCTGAAACATCTGGAATGATCACAGAGGCATGGGGCTGCCCGGAGGCTCATAGCCTGGTCCTCCCATCCCTGAGCCATGATCCAACTCTTCATCAATCAGCAGTGCCTGATGGTGAGTCCCAGGGCTTCTCCATCCTTCCTACAGGGGTGTTCCTTACTCTACATCTCCCATACCATGATCCTATAGCATTATCAGGCAGAAGGGAAATACTAACCACTAGGCACCACATGAGGTGATGGGCTGGGAGGGCAGGAGAGCCGAAACCTCGGATCACAGACCTAGAGATGGGTCAGGAGGTCCTGCTGCTTCTCATCAAGGGGAGCTGGAAGGAGGGAGCTCATGTCTTCGCTGTGTTCATGGGGCTGTAAATAACAGCACTGTCAGAGGTGATGGCTGCAGGAGGTGAGCATACGTCCGGGTGGTTTCGGTTTGCACGGTGGTTATAATGTGGTGTGGCTGCAAGGGAGGGTCACAGGATAGTTCCTCTTGGAAAGGGTCTCATGAGGTCCCCCTGAACTGTATGCCATGACCCCACGATCCTGCCTCGCAGCCACCCCAGGCTATAGCCGTGGGGCAAATAGAGAACACCTGTACACACACCATGACCTCGCAAGGAGGAGGCACAGCCACGCTGCAGCCGTGGATAAATGGTACGTTGCACATGTAAGAAGTCATACTTCTTGACTGGGGAAACGTGGCTGTGCTGGAAAATGGAGACAAATCTGAAAATCGAGGAAAATGCAAAATATTTCCCCTAGGTGGCTGTGACGGATGCACTCAACCTCTTAACCAAACCAGCAGCCGTTTGCTACTGGTTCCAAAGGAGGTAAAGGCCTGAGCTGTAGCCAGGCCAAGGACTTCTCTAAGAAACCCACAAAGAAGCAGACTGGCACAGTGAGCATGGATGCATGTGAGCTTGCAACACCATCATGCGATTAACACATGAAGAGTGGGTGGCTTTTCCAAGACTCATTTATCAAGGAACAAAGCAAGCTGTGGGTACAAGGAGCCTCGTGCATACCTTTCGCATTTCTAGAGAGAGAGCAAAGTTAAATCCCAAAGTCCAAGTCATGTACACCATGTAGCTGCATGTCTGGAAGCATGAAATTCAGCATTGTGCTAAGTGGCAAGCATAGGGCAGGGGCAACCATCGCTAGATCGAGATGTGGTGTTATGTGGATGCCCAGAGGAGTGTGAGACAGGGCAGAGGCCTCGTGGTCCCAGTCCCTCATTCTCTTTGCCCTAAACAAAAGGAGCCACTACCTCCCCCCATGCAAGTGTGAATTAGTGGGCTTTGTGGCATTAACATAAGCCGTTCCCTTTGTCCTAAGCAAAAGGGAACCATTACCTCTACCCATGAACAGACGTTATGGCATTAACATAAGCAATTAAGATTGTCTATCGTCATCCCCACCCACACGTATACCCTGGTGTTGTAATGTAAAAATTCCAATATAAATATCCCCCCAATTTCGGCCCAAAAATCAGGACA